GCAAATGTGTATTCTCTATGAGGGAGGAAAAGAGAATCTGCAATGAATCTATTTTTCCTTTTCCTTCTCCTCACCTTGCCTCCTTTTCCCCCCATTCTTACTTCTCTGTTTTTTTCTTATTATATTTTTTTTAAAGAAAAAAAGGATTTTTGTTGTCTTTGTTTCAATTAACCCTTGAAAATATTCTGCAAATTATTAAAAAGGTCATTTGCCTCTCTCCTATATTCATGTAATTAAACAAACAGGAATGTATTCCTCCCAAATCTAGGTTCCCTGGGTGCCCCAGCACTAGCTTATAAGTTTCATCATAGAAACCTGAGTGACCTTTATAAAATTCTTAAAAACAAACATTCCCTGAATTATTTCTTGCCACAGAACACAGACATAGCTAACAGTGTGATTAAAGTGTCATACAGGATTATGTATAAGAATGTTTTTGTCTTACAAGTGGAAATCTTCATAACATTTCACATATGTAACTCAATGCATTTGACAAATTTCAGAATTTTACCCTACATGCAGAGACATGTTTTAATCTTTTTCTTGAATAAATAGTTAAGACTTTGTACTCAAATGCCTTTGGGAATATGTATCTGTAACACATTGAAAACAAACAACACTTTATAGAAGCATGAAATAAATGCAAAAGGCTTTTTAGCTTGCTGCACAAGTAGACATATGCACCAAATTAAAACATATTTTTGCACTTTCAAAACAAGTGAAAGCAAATTAAAATGGGCAAACCACTTGCAATAAACTGCTGCCTGAAATATATGGACCTTTCTGTCACGGCCTTGTGAAGATGAAATTATCCAACATGCAAAAAGCACTGTTAATTTGGATCATAAAGAAATAAAAGCGCCGTAACCATGCTAGAAACTATGATTATTTAAAAATGAATGCAAGAAGAGCTAGATCTGTATTCTGAAAGTTGTGCATCATGCTAGGGATACTCTTCCCTAAAAAAGAATGCCCAACACATGCTACTTAGGAGAAGCAGTTGGCTCAAAAAACACAGAGCAAAGCCGAGAAAAATACCAAACTGAATGTAACTGCACTACAGATACTGCCCTCTCAACCCACTAATATTCATGCCTCTTCCATCTCTCTCAGCACTGGTTAGTTCATCTTCAGCATGCATAAGAGTTGATGAGGAACTGTCCCTCCTACTCTACCTAATTTTGCTCAGCTGATTCCTTGCCCTGGACAATGGCTGCAGTGCGATGAACTCGTCACTTAAAGCAACTCTGTTGGAGTACATCTACAATTGGACAGAGAAGGGATGGAACACACATGTCAGTAAGGAGCAGCAGCAATTTTCTAAGAGAAAGACACAGGACAAGACATTGTTATTTAAGTGGAATACACATCATATATAGAACACAAGCCTGATACCTTCAGGACAACCCCTGCGATCACCACAGTAAGTTATATTTTGCTAAGAACATTCTTAAATGCTCCTTAGCTTTCATATTGAGGAAAAAGGCCTATACTTTACTGGGGTCTTTATTCAATATTAACTTCACTCCTCAGTAGTGATTCATATTTACCCAAAGATTGAGACCATCCTTCTGGCCACTTCTTCCTAGATGATTTTATAGTAGTTGAAAAGAGTGGCAAGAAAAACAATACACATTCACCATACGTGCACTGGAGAAGATAGAGCCAATCCAGTGTCTCATACTCACACTGAGGGTCACTTTCCAACATAGGACAGATTTTATTTTTTCCCCCATAAGAGCAGTATTTGCATTTGAAGATTTACCACGAATAAAATTTCTCAAGTGTTTTTCTCTCCCACCGGTTAAATTTCTTTGTTCTTTTAGGAACACCTTAGCTACATGTAACATCTAACTGGTGAACAATTAACTACCTGTTGATGTGATGAACTTGTACTAAATTGAGGTAGGTTACATCAAGGCCTATACATAGCCCATGCAGCAAGGCAGACGCCTGCAGATGCAGTGAATTCGGAGCATGGACTCGGGTAACACAGCCAGCCAGGGTGCTCCTGGCTTCTGAAAGGCACTAGCAGCTGAGCAGTGCAGAAAATCGTGCTAAGTTTGCTCACTGCTCCCAGGGAACTATTTTAAAATTTGGAACACGTGGGATAGAAACAAAAATAACTGAGACAGCTACAATTTTTAAAATTAGCAACTGGTTCATGTAAAAATTTTTCTTGCTATGACAAAACCTGTAAACTAAAGCTCTTGTTTTTCAACAAGAGCTTTTCTTTAGTATGAAACTAGAGCTTTTTTCTTTAGTATGAAAATACACTAATTTAGTCATACAGTCAAAAAGGAAGAATTAAAAATAATTTCATTAGGCACAGGGTGCATCTATACTAAGAAAAAAGCCACATTACATTAGCAAGACAGCTCCATATTCACTTTTCATATGATTTCTGTAGAGAATTTGCTTATCTTTTTGGACAGACCTTCTTCTAACTCTAAGTGAGCAGCAGAGTCCTTTCCTCTGCTTTGAAAACAGGAGGAGAGAACTTACTGGAGATCTTAAACAAGCCTAAGGAGGAATCATCATGAAAGCAGCACCCAGTCACTTCCTGAGAATAACTGGGCAAAGTTAGGCTGTTATGTGGTCATACTCACTAGTTCCTCACCACAAGAGTGGCCTATGAAGTTCTGTAGCGCTGCCTGTTCCATTATGAGTAGAAAAACCTCAACAGAACAAGTCTTAATAAAGTAACAAAGAGATGTCTTTTCTTCTGCAAATTTTTTTTTTAACTGAGTGGATATATACACAGAAGTGGCTGAATGGCCAATGAAGCATTTCTGGTCAAAGGAGTTTTCAGGTCCCTAGTTGAATTCTGCAATTTCAGGAATTAGGTGTTTTCAGGAAAAAAAGAGTATTTCACTAAGCGTGGACCTGCAGATGTTGTCAAATGGCAAAGCGAAAAGGGAATCAGAAAAACAAAAACTGTTAATGGAGGAGCAGAAATCAAGATGGCCTTGACCACTAAGTTACAGCCACAAGAAGACGTCAGTCACTGATCTTTCCTAACAGAGAGATACCTGATCACGCCCATTTATCATACAACTGCAATGGAAACAAAAGCCATTTGACAGAATTTGACAGAAAATGACAGAATTCAACCAGAGAGCAAAAGAATACAAGGAGAAGTGTATAGATAAGGTTAGAGACTAAATATTTTTTGTTGTTATTTTTACAAAAAGTATTTTTGGGGACATGAAAAAATTGAGCAACCATCCTAACCCACCAACACCAGATGGAAAAAGCTGACTGTAAATAATTCAGCAAGAACGGAAAATATTCAATAAAAAGAGATCTGCATAATGTGCTATCAAGGTTTTTATCAAGTCTGGAGGAAAAGCTTTCTGGAAGCTCCCACTTCATTACCTGGGATTTTGGATATTAAATTCCAAGGCTGGCCAAGGCAGCTAAATACTATGGCAGTTCCGAAAATGGTTAACGGGGTATCTTGGTTAGCTTTAGGTAGGTCAGTCTGACAATGATCCTCAACAAAAGAAAGAATGCCTCATATGCATTTTTATTAATATAAATTAGAAAGTAATAATTTAAAATGAATCAGCATACAAAAAAAGCAAAAGAATTAAAGGGTTAGCTGTTAGAGGTATCAGCATTGATGTAAGGCAGTTAAGAGCTCTGTAAGGCACATAGCTCAAGGTAATTTGGATTAAGCAACTAGAAGACCACAGAAATCAATGTGGCACACATTAAATGGATTAAAAACTCCTAATAAGTTTCAGAATACAACTGTAAATGGGATATGATCAACTTTCTATTTACTTTCAATTCTTTTTCTGGGCCATATGCCATTAGGCTTCTCAGCAATGACCTAGAGGCAAAACAAAATAATCACTTTCAGAAGAGAAAAGGATACAGGAGTTAACAGGTTGGTGACCTGTTATATTATTTAGTAAAGAAGATTCATTATTTCCAAACTTGACCCTGCTATATGCTCTGCTAGAATATTATGCTCAGTGGTGACATTCAGAATTCAAGATGGACCATAAGGAATGGCAAATATTATACAAGAGGCACAAGAATTATTAAAAGACTGGAAAACTTGCTTTACAGGAAGATTCAAATCTACCCTATGTATTCTGTCAGTGAGAAGATTAACTTGATCAAATAATAATGGAAAAAAAATGCAAGTAACAGAAGAAAACCTCAATATAGCAAAAAAAAGTTATAAGATAAAATGCTGAAAACTGGAACCAGAGAGAAGAGCTATTAGAAAAACGCATGAGGATGACTTCTCCATTACTGTCACTAAAAACAACAGCACTCAAACACAGATGAGCTTTGTACCTAACAGACAGCCTCATTTATAAAAGAATGATTTCAAGGAGTTTGTGTGTGGCCTGTGTTAGGAGGAGAAAGATTCTATTATCACAGTAGTTGCTCAGGCCTCATCCATGAATTTATGAAAATATTATACAGATAATTATCTTTAATTATATAATCAACAACCGAAGACATATCATATGGTATGATCAAGATTTAAGAAATACTAATTAAACCAAGCCCTACTAAAGTGATTTGAAAAATCATTGCTTTCATTACATTTTAAGTGCTATTCAATGTCAATTACAGTTGAAGAGAGAGCTTCTAGCTAGACAGAAGTGAGAGACAGTTTAGTTACCAGATTTAAAGCAGTATTAAAATGTACAATGTAAGCCTTTTAAAGAGTTGTAACCTGAGATGTAAAGGATTGAATTATTCTACTGTTAATAATTTGATTATTTGTTAGTGCTGATTTCTTGTAAGATGGTATCTTAATTTTGGTAATTTTAAATTAACATTTATCTTTCCATATGAGAACACTGTCTTATGCTTTTGAGATCCCTGTATCATGCATCAAACATCACAAAAAAATTAAGAGGTTGATTAAATGCTAAAATGTAACAGGAAAGATTAACTGGCTAACCAGGCAGATTTAAATAAAGGCATTCTTCTAAATACTAACCAAGTTAGATATAAAAACATAACATTACCTGAGCTTTTTCAGTACTCGTTGGTTGCAGATGTCTGTACAGCACTTTCTTCACAACATCAAGAAACAAACAGGCAACTACTATGATGATTATGGCAAACCAAGCAGAACCACTTGACAACAGTTGAACAAATACGAAGTACATGTCCTGGGTATGTAAAAATGGCCTGAAAAGTTAAAAAGGTGGCAATTACTAAACTAAGCTTTTAGAAACAAGAGTACAGTTAAAACATCCAAACTTATGTCAACCAACAAATCATTTAGCATGAGAATGACAACTGTATGGCGTCTAAGTCTTACAGTGAGTTGGAATATACATATGGATGGATGGATGGATGGATGGATAATGTCTTCATGTCTCCCCTAAATGTCTTTAGGGACATGGTTTAACAGGTATGGTTTTGAAGGGTTTACAATTGGACTCGATCTTGAAGGTCTTTTCCAACCATAATGATTCTATGATATTTACAGTCACGGCCTGTTGTATACGAGTAATTCCTGTCCTTCAACACTCAACAGCATGGCTTTAACTTCAAAAAGAATGAAAGGCAAACACCACTCCACGTTTAGAGATTTGTTTATCAACCGGTAGGTTCTTTCATAACTTTATTCATCGGGTGTGTTATAGGAAAGAGAGAAGCAAACACTCACCAGATAATTCCCCCATAAAACAAGGAGAATATGAAATAAAACACAATGGATCCCCAAGTAACAAAATGGTTTATCCATGTCCAGAAATGAGTTTCTAATGCCATCTAAAACAAAAACAAACAAACAAAAAATGTAACGAACTTGTTTTCTCCCCACTTCACAAAATAATGGCAAATACTGGTACAAAATAATTTGAATATACTTGCAAAATATTATCTCAAACACTATTGTTGGAACACGAACTATGAAGCTAAATTTTATCCATCAGGAAACATAAATGTCTATCTCGATCCCTCAAGAACTGATACTTTATAGAACTTTTGAATCAAATTAAAATTAATATTGCATTATGTGCTTGCTTATAAATCCGAACACAAGGAATACTGTAATATCCTACCTTCATCGTAACAGTTATAACCATGACGGTGAAGACCAAAGTACCAAATGTCCAGTTTCCAAACATCTAAATAAGAGGCAAAGCAAGGCAAATGTCATTGAAAAAGACTAGTTAGAAACATCCGTAATTCAGATTTCTCTCAAGTCAGCTATACTACTGCAACAAGTCTATGGACAGAAGCTCGCAACTTAACTAATCACATTTAAAGGCAGAATACAACACAAACTACTATAAAAACAAATACAGCTTATCACATAAGGGCAAAATTAACAGACCACGAGATATATTCCTTCTTGGTTCAAAACAGATCACCAAAAAGGCTACATGAACAATGAAGAAGCCCAATACAGGAACATGGAATGATAGGATAATGAAGATACCAAATTCACCAGTTAAGTGTAAACATCCAACCAAAAGCAAATATTGACTGGCAAATATTCACTTCAAAATAAATGCAAAACACGTCTCAATTTGAGTTTAAACATTTTCATCATTTTCAACATGCAGCATCATTTGAAGGTTTGCTTTTTTTCCAAGCACAATTTTACAATTCAAAAATAATGGTGCCATTATGTTTGTCAAAGGAAACACTACAGAAAAGACACTTTTTTTCAAGGCCAAAAACTAAATATTTAAAAATAGTTATGCTTTAACCCTAAAATACTATGTTTTTGTCGCTTTTTCAGTTTCTCACCTACATAAATGGAGCCTAAACTCTTCACAAGTCCTACAGCAATGAAACTCCAGCTCTGACAAGCAAGCGAGGAGGCCAGGTTCGTACTACATGTGCCCTTATGCAACCCCAGATCCACATGGCCATTCTGCATGGGTCCAACGAATCTGGGATGCTCATGGCAAACGCTGCTTTTTGGCACCTAGCTTGGTGACTGACACATTGAACAAGGCCTCTTTTCAGTAGTTGTTAAAAAAAAGTAAGCAAGCAAGGAGAGAGGTGCTGCATGCAGACAGGCAATCAAACTCATCCTGGACTGGAGTGGTTAGTGGAGATGCGAGACTGGGGTTAATGCAATTGTAGTCCTTGATACACAGCTGACTCTCCTGCTCAAAATCAAATCAAAACAAACAAGCAAAAACCTGATCCCCCCAGCACTCTATTAATATAGTTCTCATAACTACTTTCCTCATTTTGATACATGGCAAAAAAAAAAAAAAAAAAAAAAAAAACCAACTAGTCATGACTTTCGACAATTTTAAAAAGGTAGATATTTGGTTTTATAGGTCTTCTGAAGACCACTATAGGTTTGAAAAGTAAATGGGGCATGTTTGACAAGCGGTATTTTGAACTAAAATGAGGCTGGTGCTTTCTTGCAACCTGTGAAAGAAAGTGTCTTTGCTAACACTGTTCTAAATGGTCACAGAGTCAGAATACAAAATATGAATGGTTTTTTGCCACCATTTTATTTTTGAACATATGTACACTGTGGATGCTGCATCCTTTAATCCTGTGAAGTAACAGATACAATAGTTTGTATCTCCTGCTCTTCTAGGCTCTTACCATTTGCCTGTTAGGTTTCAATATCTGACGACATGCACAGCATGAAAGAGGGGGGAAAAAAAGAACTAAAAGATCAAATTGTTGCACAATGTGTTGCTGTGAGCCTAATAAACCACAAATATTAACAAATTACGTACAATCTGCTCTCTTGTGCTTTGCTCCAAACTGATAATTTGATGAAAAAGGAGGTTTCTATGGGCTTGTGGCGTTGCCCTGACCCAAAGCTCCATCACACAGTCTGGTACTGAGATCACTTCTTGCACTGCTACAAGGGGACACTCCTGGAGCACAAGTTTCTCTTACATTTATCTTTTCCTTTTTCCGGCACACACTAAAATTGCAACTTACTTTAACCACCATGGATATTTTACTGCAACACACAGCTCTAATAGTTTCAATAACCATCTGTTAGCGAATACAGAACAGGTACAAGATGTCTCCAAATACATTTTTTGTTGTTGTTTGTCACATTACAGAAAATATTAGTAGTCAAAGCACATCTGAAAGCAAAGCTCTAATTTAGGAGGCTCATTCTCTAGCTATATGTAAAGAATCTTGAAGTTAGTTTATATGAGAAAGCACATAAAAACCTTCCCCAGAGAATTTACATAAACACAGGCTCTGGTCTGGATTTCTAAAATACCCCCTACACATTTGTCACTAGATACAAAGGAAAAAGTCTCTTTCCACATCGCAGATGCTTACTAAGCAATTCTGAAGTGAAGAGCTTTGACTTAGTTGACAACTACTCAAAAATGCACTGATCCATAGTGTCAAGTCGCTTCATTAAAAAGCTACAAAAATTCCATTACCAATTCACAATTATTTCAACCGGAAAGTCACGTAGCCTGCAAAAGTTCCTACATTGATTGCAAGAGGATGCTAATGAGATTTGATTTTGGCATCAAAGTAAACAAAAACTAAAACAAAATTGAAGACAACTGCAACACATTTTTTTTTTTATCCAGAAAGAACTGATCTTCAAAGATAGATGCTTTCTTACAAGAGCAAGTCTTCTTAAAAGCAAAATAAATAGCATTTAACAAAGTAGGAAAGCAGAAATGTAATGTATTACTATCTGTAATTTAAAGAATTGTGCTAACTGGAATGTGGAAGTCCTACATCACAACTTTTGCAAAAGAAACACTCGAAACATAAATCTAATCACATTCTTCCTCATCCAGATTCCTCACTTTGGAAAATGTTAATGCTGAGAGAATAAAGGAATAATGGCAAAGTCTCTTTGATATTTATGTAGTTCATAAACCCCTAAACACTTGGCAAAACATGAATAATTTTGAGTAAACTAATACAACAGAATTTTGCAAAATTCATTAAATAAAAGTCACCATGAATTATTGTTATTATTAAAATATTTTACCTGGCCATTTCCCAGCAGAGAAGTGTCTTCTCCCATTAGAAGATATGAGCCATAAAAGAAAACAAATGCATGAAAGAAGCCCAAGACGGTCCAGTAAAGAAATGGTTTAAACCCTAGATGGGCATTTTTACTGATGTCTCTGCAGAAACAAAAAAAGATTTTGGATTTCAAATTAGTTGTATATAAGATATCAGCTACTTTGCAGGAATGCTATTGCTTGCATAAACCCAGCCTTCCACTGTATTTAATAAACACAGTGATGCATTCAGTGAATGCTAACATTTGGAAAAAAAAAAAGTTTAACCTGGACAAAAGAACAACTCCAAATTTATTGTCATTATTTGCCTCTGCTTTAGGCAACTGTACTGAATGGGTCAAGGTCAGAATAGCACAAACAAGAATTCCTCTCCTTAGAGGAGAATTGTAAGATGAACAAAAGGCCACATCTCCTAACATTTTCAACCCATTCTTGCTTAAAAGACCTTTCGGGGCTGCAGGAAAGGGACATGGTAGAGGAGAGGGGAGTGGTGGGCGACAAAATAAAAAGCTTCCAAGAAACATTTATTAGTCACAAAAACGGACACTTTTCTCCAATAAGCAGCATGCAGTGCAATACGCTGCCACCAGGAGGACATCTAATTCTACAGAAAATCACTTCTCTGTTTGGTGAAGCACCTTTGCTGTGATTCACTTAACCACAGTGCACAAGTTTTTCTTGTCTGAGTGACTTCCACTTCCGACATGTAATGGGTGAGGACCTTATAGATCACTGAGCCCATTGCTCAGTTATTGTCCAGTGTTAACACAAGTGACTTAAAAATATGTTTCTCTTGAATTCCTAATTTGAATTTGCTTTGGGGATGAAAATTTAACTTCATTTCTTCCTTCCTTAAGACAGTTATTAAAAAACAATTTTTAAATTAATTTAAATAAATAAGCTAATATAAAATACATGTTACAAATCCTGTAGGAATGCATAATAGCAAATACATCTGCAGATGCCTGTTTTTCTAAATGATGTGTGACTATGGCAATATAGAGAGGATATACATACCGGTACAGCACAGGTTTACTCTGTAATACATGCGGATGCACATGCTGTTCAAAAAGACTGTAGATCAGGACAGGCAAGGAAGTGAAACAAATATTGTACAAAGTCAGGTATACACTGTCATAGAGCGTCTGAAAATGGAAACAAAAATTGAGTGTTGTAAAGAAAATTACTTATATTTTAAGTCTTCACATTGATAGCGTCAATAAGCATCTAGCTGTGTGTGTTTAGTAGGAAGAGTTGTACTTACATACTCTACCTAGTGACATTTTATGATTTCTGTTGTAAGTTAAACAAGCCATCAAATTTTGAAAGTGAATCTGGGTATTTGTAAACTATAACATCTGTCTGGTTCTTACAATGCCACCCTTTTCCATGCAAAAAATCCCCAGTAGCAAAACAAAGGCATGCAGAAGTTGTTAAATTTCGTAGGTCTCTCAAACAACCCAAAATGAATAAAACAGTAATAAGGAAGTTGTGTTATGGTATACACAAAATTTGTGGACTCAACAGCACCAAATTTAAGTGTACAGAAAAGCCGTTGAATAAAAAGTTATTTTGCTATTCATTAACTGAATGTAACTATCTACATATTATGACTACAATTACTTTCAGCGTGGGAAACAGAAGCCCGAAAGTTAGCCAAACAGCCTTGAAAAATACCAGTCAAAATGTCCAGCAAATTGCACTACAGATTTGTAGTATCTCGGGAGGAAAACATAGACCTGCCAAGTAAAAATTTCCCTTTGGAACAGAAATATTTAAAGGTCATTTTAAAACCTAGATGATTTTGTACTTCTGAAGCAGCTTCAAGGAACACATTTACCTGTTAACATACATATTTGAGAAGTGGACTGCTTAGCTCCAAACTGAACAAGAAGTTCATATGGAGTTCACAGTAATAAAATCCTCAAAGGGGAGTTTTCTTTTAATTATACAATCAATTCCCTCATTAGCAATATTAAAGCAGATGCAGAAAATCTATCAGCATATCTGCTTTTGAAGGGAGGAGGGGCAAGAGCAATAATTCATTGTTTTCTGCACATTTTTCTAGTGATCCCATATATGCTTACCAAGATGCAAGACATCCAATACTTACTTGTTGTGAAAACAAACAGAAGAACTGATATAAAAACTGTGGTGTAATAAAGCACACATTCTGCAAAACAAAAGTGAAGGAAATATTCAGCATCTCTTTCTTATAGAGAAGGATTACACATTTATTTTCATGAATCTCACTCAAAAGACTTACCTTATAAAAAAAGTACTGTACAAGGGTTGCTATTCTAATATAGTAAAAGTGGCCATGAACAAAAAGCAACTTGGAGAGGAATTTAAACCGTGCTATTGCATAGTCGCTGTTTCTTACAGCTTGTCTTCCTTCTTTTCCCATGATTCCTGTAAAATTTGGTGAACAAGAAAAACAGATTACACATCTGCAAAATGAAAGTTTATTAAACGTATATGTGAAAGTCATCTTGGTTTTTGCACACTTCAGCATTATAAAGCCTTCAGCTGGCTATGCCCATAGTCTTCAAAATCAGGAGCACAACTAGACATTACATACATCTGTGTTTGTGATAGCATTAATTCATTCATATATATTTTGTGGTTTACACTTTGAATTTATATATATATATACATATATATATACACACACACACATACACACAAACAGATATTATATATCTATACATATAGATATATAAAGGTTTAGGCCAATAACAGTTTCTCAAAACATATAATGAAAACCTTTCCTTAGCAATAAACTAGACACAAACAGCACTTCTACAATGACATATAGGTGGTGTAGACAGAGAGGCATATGGCAAAGAAAGGCTTGAGGATCAAGTTTACATTGAAGGTGATGACCTGACAGTGATTGGAGTTATCCACTCCTATTTTTTCATGCTGAGCACTATCGAGATGCTGGTTAAAGCAAATCCTTTCTGCTCTTAAGACAGCATAAGCAGATCCATATTTGGATTAGTATTATTCACGATCTAACTCTCCATTAAAAACCACATCTTTTTTTTTTTTTTTTCTCCCCCTTCTGACAAACGTTACCTATGCCAACATGTGCTTCTTGTATCATGCTCACATCATTAGCACCATCACCAATCGCTAATGTTATAGGTTTTTCTGGAGAAGTTTTTAACAGTCTCACTACCTGGAAAAAAACACAGAAGTTTAGAATTAGGGGCTTGCTCTGTAGCTGCCTGTGTAATTCCTGAGCATCTTAGTTACTTACCTGTCAGTATATGTAATTACTGCATTTTGGGAATGGGTACTCTTGGGTAGGAAACACCTTTATTATTTAATTATCATTTAGCAAATTCATACTCTCCTTATAAAAACTGTTTGCTATGGTGCACAAGTCTTATTTAAATATGAAACCTGCTTATTTGGCATAAATAAAACATCCACATATTTAACTTTCCTTTCACAATTCTTTATTTGTTATTTTATCACACAGAACAGTCTGTCTGATACTGAAAATTTCAATTTAATTAAGGGACTAATCCAAGGTTTAATCCCCTTCATCAGACTGCTAGCATCACATTTTCAGTATTACACATAGTCAGGTTCAGCTCAAAAGATTTTTTTTGGTATTGAGGGGGAGAAGGAAGAGAAAAAAAGCTAACTAATAAAGATCAGTATGTAGTGCTATTAAGGAAAATAGCTTCTCTCTCTCTCTTTTTTTTTTTTTTTTTTTTTTTTTTTAAAAAAAACCCAACTTCATATCACCAATGGGTATTCCCAACCAAGTCCTGGAAAGTATCAGGAGAGGTAATAGATGAAAATTTTTTTCAGGCTCTAGAATCCCCCAAAGAAGAGCTGACAACTCTGCTGCTCCCAAAAGATAATAGACCCTAGAGATGAATTAATCAAATTAGGTATTTGATTAAAGAAAGTTCATTAGCCTTCTAATCCAGAAGTGTCTGAGCTGCAGAGGAGAGGGTGCTGAAGATAGCTTCAAAAGGCTGTCTGAAGAATCAATCACTGAAGAGATATTGTGTGATTCTCCAGCATGCTAGAAAGCACAAAAGGAAAATATAAATGGAGCAACAACTGCCTGTAGTTCAGTAGGTCCAAACACCTGTATTCAAATAATTGAGAGGTGTTGGCAGTGGCAGTGCCTCGATTCAGGAGTGGTAACTCACCTCCCAGAATATACACGAGGATACAACAGCGATTAAATTCAGGCCACAGTCCAGAGAAATCCACCTGACTGTGGGATACAATTCCTAATTGCAGGTATTGATGTTCAAGTTGAAAGGTTCTCCCTTCTCAAGGAATAATTATGCCAAGTATATTCAACATCAGATCTTAGTAAGCAGTGTTAGAAATGTAGCAAAACTGCAGTGTATCACTTAGATCAGTCCTCATTAGAGACTGAAGACTGTGGTAATTTAGACAGGCAAACATCTATGCCAAAGAGGTCAAGATAAATCCCCTGGCAAATCCTACTAGCAGCAGTTAGCAACAGCTCCGAATGACATGAAACACATTTAAAAAGGCATCGAAGCCACAAAGCATACGAAAAATATATGTAGAGCTAGCGAGAATGCTAGCCATATTTTTAACATGCATTAATATTAAAAAAAAAAAAAAAAGAGTGCATCCCTGTAATGCTGTATAAAACTTGGTAAAAAGAGTAATTTCAGCGCACACGCGAACAGCTTTCCTATGAAGCGCTTTTAAAAGCTACATTAAGAATTGGGCCAACTCCTGGAAGCAGGAAGGCAGCAAGACCCTCAGCCGTTTTCATCTCTTTGAGACTCTCTTTGCAGCAGGCTACACGAGAGTATCCCCTAGAGCCTGCTAGTCTACTGCTGGACATAATTATGTCAACAACAATCCAATGAGTTCATTCAGAGGCTAAAGCAAAGCATGAAAACTAGCAATTCTGAAGATATTTCCAACTGTGGCCAGACAGGAACCCACACATCTGTGGATCTGCAGACATCAGACAGACATCAGAACTTGACTTTCCCAAGTGGGCAGAAATGCTACTTGACAGGATCTGAAGAGCACAGATGATGTGAAACGTGCTGTAGTTGAGCACAGAGCTAACAAAACTAGATATTTATTGCACTGATAAACAGGCCAAAATGATGTTTTCTTCCCCTTCCCTCTGCTAAAAATACAAATCTATGTAAATGCTTATGTCAGATTACTGTTTTCTCTATATTTAAAGAGATGTATAACAAAAAGACAGTATTTAAAACTAGAAAGAGGATATTTACAGAAAAGAACCTGAATGAGAATACAGAGGTTGTCATACATTAAACAGTGACTTGATACAGTGCAATCATGTTATGATAATTAATCTCATCTCAATCAAATCACTTCTCCTTTCTTCCACTCCAGAAAGCAAAAGTGGTAAAAATGTAACTCATTCCTGTACTTTATTTTACCAAAAGATTTCCTAATGAAAAGGAAACTATGGAAAAAATAGACGGCAGCTGCATTACTTTGACTCTATTTACTAGTTTTTATAAAAGATGTTAGTTAGCACTCTTCGTTTATGAAACAAGTTCCTTCAGTTCAACTGAATTTAACAGTGAGTAAAACCCCAAAATGCCAGGCAAACGGACAAAGCATTTGCAGAGATCCTTGACCCTTTTAGAAAGCAGGCTAAAAATACTTATAGAACAATTGTGAGTGTATCCTCACTTACCTTTGCTTTCTGAAGGGGTGCCATGCGGCAGCACAACACTGCAGAACAGTTTTTACAAACTTCCATGAACAGCTTTTCATGTTCCCTGAGTGCAAGAGAGAGGCTGGTCCCATCCACAACTAGTCCATGCTGGATAACATGGTCTTCCTTTATTCTGTTCAGAGACAAGAAAGTTTTTGTATTGGTGGGAGGGGAAAAAAAAAAAGAAAAAAAAATCACTTGTGCTACAAATTACACAGTTGTTCAGAATAAGCAGAGGAGGAATTTTTAATAGACTTGAAGAAGCAAAAAAATTCATCTGCTTGGCAGATAAATTAAAATAACTATCATAAAATTTGAAATGAGAAGAAAACCATATTAATATAATCACTGGGATAGTGACATTGGGATAGTATTTTACCTCTTGGCTAGCTGCCTCAGTTGCTCTGCGCATGTACTGTCTGATTTGTGCTGCACCAGTTCAAGGATGTTCATAGTTCTATGAAAGTGTCCACATGACAAACTGACACTAACAGCAGTTTCATGCTTATCTCCAGTGAGTACCCACACTTTGATTCCAGCCAACCTGAGCGCTTCTATGGTTTCTTGGACTTTCTCCTGCAGCCTAGAAATAAGAAAATCTTAATAATGAATAGAATGCTTCCAAAAATAATAATAAAAAAAATACATAAAATAAATGTATATAAAAACACGTATCTCCTGTTCTTTTTGTAACACCACCACTGCCATGGTTTCCACTAATATATTTCAAGGCTTTGGTGAAGCAAAACCTAAATTTCAGGCCTGCTAAGTAAAGAAAATCAAAATTTGCAATAGGAATGTCTCAATTTAAATTAGGCAACACTACTGTATTTGAGACCTTTTAAAACACTCCATGACAATTAGAATCTATTGTGATGTGTGGGAAACCTAGCACTCTGGAACACAATACACTCTCCAGCTTACAGGATACACATCATGCATGCAGAAGGATTTGTAAAGTAGCTGTGTACCGAAGCTCCCTCAAGGAATTAGGTATTACCCTTAATTAGTAACTGAAATTATACTTTGTTTCATGTACATTATGATCAAAGGCATCTCTTCCCATAAAGTGCTGCATGTTACTGTCATTATGCCAAGATCAATTGGTACAAGATATGTTCGAAGTCTCCCCATCCAAAACCAGTGGCAAACATACTAAACCAAGCACAGAATTTGAGGAGGATGGCTGGACATTTTTTCATGACACATATCATAAGGCAGTAATAAATTCTAAACTTGCTGTGTTTTTGATTGTAGTTAGGAGAAATTCCATTACATACTTGTCTTCCACTCCTGTAGCCCCAAGCAATTCTAGATCCCTTTCTATGAAGTTGAATACATCTGCTAATTTTTCTTCTCGTTGCTGTAAGGCAGTCCTGGCCTCATGAAGGCGTTTGCTAATTTCTTGATACTCCTCAGGTGTGAAACTTCTGTAGGCCACGCACAAAGTTCTTAGTCCTTTCTGTGAGAGGGAAGAGAGATTACATTCAGAGCAGACCATATTTCAATCTGACAAGAAGGTGTCATCTGACATTTGTCCACTACAAGTCTCAGAATTTGCACCAGAAGAATCTTTTTGCAATCAGATGAACAGACGCCTGCACTTACCAAGGCAAATTCATCCACGTGTATCCTTGTTTTGTCTATTTCTCCACTCTTACTACGAGGAAGAATGGATGACTCTGCTCCCTTTGTGAATAAAAGCTTTTCCCCTACCAGATAAAATAGAATGAAGAGTAAGAATGCATACTGTTTAAGAAGTTATCAACTGCAAGTTAGGCGACTTCTGATCTCTTACCTGAGGGACTCTCTACAATGACACTCATTCTTCTGCGATTCGGATCAAACTCCAAAACATGCAGCAATTTATACCTTTATTTTTTGTTAAAAAAATAGGAAAACAGTTTTTTAAATGAATTTCCAGAGAGAAGTACTTATAAGCATACACTGACCACACAACATTGACCATACAGAGCTTTTCCTCAAGAGAGATCTTAGTACAGATGCTCCAAATGAAATGCTATCAGTTTGGCAACAGTAACTGCTATTTATGTTTCTGTCATTAATTGCTTTTCAACACTTAAAATACATTTAATACAGACACAGTTCTGTCCCATAAGAATAAAAGATTCTTCTATCAATAAGTATTTTGATTCCTGAACACTAACACATTTACATCTGCAGATTACTATCAGTTCCTAATTGTTCTTTTATCATTATTTCAAGTATAATTTGGAAATAATGTTTTACTTTCTAATGCTCAACCTACACAATCAAAAAAGACTGAATGATCTCTGATATAACATTTTTACTAATTTTGGGCAAGTAAAGCCAATTAGATTATTCATGTGCAACAGATGCCAGCACAGTTGATTCTGGGAACTTCTAGAGCTGAAAGTGCAAACTAAAGCTTGAATAAACAACACAATTTTCCAGCTCCAGCAGAATCTCAATCTCTGACAAGCGGACATAGACGTAAACTGGGATAATACATATCTAGGCATAAGATTCCTGCTTCTCAGTTCCATTTGGTAAGGAGTAAAGTATTAGCTACTTTGAAGACATCAAAGCAAAATAATGGGGTTCAGGAAAAGGCAAGTTTTTTTGTCGTTTTGTTCTCTTTTTTGAACACAGAGATTAACTATAGAATATTACTGTAATCCCCATCACTGTTTTATCATTGAGAAGAAGGAAAGAAGAAAAATGAATACCTTTCTGGTTTTCCAAGACTTTTTACTTCCATAGTGTCCCCACTAGTTCCAGTGAAGACCACTCCAACACTGAAAGAAAAAACAAAACCAAACAGACATTTGATTGTTATTGAATTCAAAAGAAAACAGGACTCTCATACACCACTACAGTTCTGCATTTCTGGAAAAAAGTGAAGAATGTCAACTTTCTGCAGTATTTGAAATAGCAATATTTCATCCAGTTTAATTTCACAATGATTTCCATATACATTTTTAGCATTTGATAATATGCCGAGTTTTTTATATTTTTTTAATTCTTCTATCTTCTCATAGTGAGCCACCATTGCCAGGCCCTGGGCATTAGGAACTTTTGGTGAATTTATTCATATTGCTTTTAAAACAAATTGTCTGCCCTAGGAGGAATTTCCTAATTTATAACTTACCGGCTTGCAGCTTCAACTAAAGCTTTCTCATCTGGCGAAGAAGCATAATATTCCAATGGGGATGTTATTCCATTGGCTTGCCAGGGGCCATCAGCACCATCTGTTTGATCTGCATTGATCTGCACTGTATGACAAAGACAAACTGCTTTCAAGAAGAGCTCTTCCTCTTTCACCTATAAGAAACAAAAATGTTATTTGTAACCATTTAGATACCAAACCAGTTTGGAATAAAACTACGTGTTTCCACTTAAAAAAGAAAATCTAAGTACTACATGTAAAAAAAAAACCACACATTTCTCAATTTGTTTACTACAAACCATTTGTTCAATAACAGTTAATAGTTTCAATCTACTTGACAATTTTATTCTTTAATGTAAATATCAAAGACTATTTATTTGAAATAAAGTATCTAGGATGTCTAAGGGGAAGAAAATCTCACCAAACTATGTCTATTTCCATCTGGAGAATCTTCAGATAGCCCCTCTGGAGTGAGTTTCCCATTGATCTCTTGGTACTTTATGCCATTTATGGAGCACTCACGAAACTGCATCTCATTTTCAGTTAATGTACCAGTTTTGTCTGTAAACACATATTCTATCTATTGTAAAATAAAACAACAACAACAAGAAAAAAAACAAGTTTGGAATTATGTATGCTTTGGTGAAATTGTATAACAGAACTTAAAATTTCTATTTTTGCTATGAAATAAAATGTTTATATCTTACTTTCAATTTTTCCTACCTGTCCCAACTCTTCATTGAGGTCCGAGGTATTTACTTGTGCTCTCTGGTTTGTCTCTTCGTGATAGAGGTCAAGATCCCAGCCAATAAAAAAAGATCCAAGAAATTTCTGCATCTCAACAGTCACATAAAGTGAAATAGGTATGATAAAATTGTAAAGTACCAGAAAAGCAAGAAAATCTGAAATAAATCTCAGTATCTATGAGAGAAAGAAAAAAGTAAAAGATTACTGCAGGATTAAGTAGAAAATGGTTCGTTAAGCATATTTTAAACTGTATGAAAAAATGACAAATTAAGAGAGCTGAATTCTATAATCCAGAAACTCCAGAAATCCAGAAAAATATAGAATGATTACATTTAGATTACATTCTGAAAACTAAGACTTCTCATCACTTCAGACTCCTAAGAACATTTCAAAGAATCCGGTCAGTCTCTACAGAAAAGTGAGGAATCAAGAAGGAGCTCAAGTAAAATTACAGCCTTAGAAACTTTTCTGAACAAACTCAGTATCACAGAATATTTGAAATGTCTAAAATATGAAATCATTACAACAAAATGTGCACAAGAACAGTCATCCTCCTCCACCTTTCATTTAATGAATGACACAAACACCGAAGACAACAATTAAAAGCAAAATACACCCTCAGAAATATGTCCTGACAAAAACAAGAACAAATACCACACACCTGGGCTTTTCATAATTGAAGGAATAAACAGAGTTAAAACAGACTTAAGATTCTTCTGCATCAGGGTCAAGATACATAGGACTAAAGTTTTACTGAAATTTTGCATAGGACTAAAAAGCTATTTTTAAAAACACTGAGCTAATGGCAAACAGATTTGCAAGTGAATTCTCTGGTTGTTTCAGTTATATCCAGGAACAGAGACATTATAAAGACTACACTTAAACATCTAGTGGCTGAAGACCCCTCAGATATGCAGCTAGGTAGAACTACATTACCTTACTGCTGTTTCTTTCGTGCTCTGTTTTTTCATTATACCAAGGCTCATCCCATTTTTCTTCAGCTTGCCATGCATATTTTAAAATAGTACTCAGAATGGCTTCAAAGAGGAGGATTATTAGATAAATAATCAAGAAAGAATTCATAGACCTAGAAAGAGGTAAAAAAAGCCATTTTAGTTTAATTTACTTTATCAGTTTACAAATTTAAATATATAACGATCGACACCTTAAGAGAATTTTTTATGTGGATTTAACATTTCTATACAACAAATATAAACATTAATGGTTATTATTCAACAAATAAGAAGGACACTATAAAATAAACATACTTTTCTACTGCTGACCGTTTTTGAGATTTACTTTTGTAATTTAATGCCATCTTTGTCTCCATACCCGTATACACAGCAACGCCTGGAAAGAAAAGGGCACAGGGAAAAGTTACACCTTATTTTCTGGAGCATACAACCTGTAGAATTTTTAAATCCGTTTACAAGACCCAGAATAAAATCAAGAGATCATAACGTTTACTTCAGTACAATGCTGAGACAGTATTTTGCAAGTGTTAATAATATGTCACAATAGCAAAACACAGCTAGTGAAGTAATTTTTGCATCTACTAAAACATTCTTCATTACTATGACTGTACTGCTTTCCAAATATACTTTTCTATGGAAATCATAATGCTAAATCTCAAGAGGTCTCAAACAACGGATAATGAACATCAGTCACTTATCCATTAAAGTTAAGTTACTCCTTTATCAAACCACTTAAGATATTTCCACATAGTGGAGCTGATACTTTTTATCCGCAGAAATTCTTTGGCATAATATTGTACTTTCATCTATAGCCATATCCCCTCAGGTAACCACCAGCAGGATTATTAGGATCTCTTCAGTGCAAATAGAATTAAATCATCAGCATGTTTCAAGAAGAGAACGCTCTTTAAGTATTTAAATGCCTACAAACCAAATATTTCTTTAGTGTTTTTCAATCTTGCTCCACGAAGTAAGAGACTTTCAGGCCCAAGAGGTCTAAAAAGAAATGACATATATAGACATTATATAAGCATTTAAAAACAAGTTGTTCTCTATTGTGTGGAACTAACGAAGTCCCATTTTCAAAGCACTGAGGTCCTATGTCTCTTATGAATTCCCACTGCAGCAACTTCTCCCCCACCAACATTAGCTCCACTTTGATTTAATGCAGTTCTCCTCACCTCACACCCCACCATACCCCACACAGTCCTCAGTTTCATTTAACATTTCTTTTGCTCACTTTAATACTCTAGGACAGCTTTCAATATCCCACAATTAGTAGTTGAGCTAAATGTACCGAATGGTTGGTTCAGAAGGATCTACAAGTTATTTGAAAAGCCACAGCAGAAAATGGTGGTTTGCATAATCTGCTAGTGGAAAATGTTTATGTTCAGTAAACACTTTAAATAACAAACAGCAACAGAATTACTAGTGCATCAACTGTACCTAAAACAATTATCCCATCCTCAAGCAGTGCAACTTTCCAAAACAATCAATTACATCTGAAGAAATGGATAGTAAATGAACTTCCATTTTTTTTTCCTGTTTCTAGCTGAAGCGTGCAGCTACAAATGATGCTTTGAACAAAAAATCCCTTTCTTTTTTTAATTCAACAGTAAGTCTCTTTTGTGATGGGCAGGGCTTAACCACTTCCATTAGCTCTAAACACTAGGTATGCTTTATAAAATTTTACCTACCGTACAATTTCCTCAATTTGTTGACTTACAGTTATTCTTCCAACAAATCTACGAGAGAAGGTTGTGTCAGAAATATCTACATAAAGACTCCCAAAAAACAGAACCAAAAGCTATTAATTTACAAATATATCATTAATAGAGCACAAATATAAAATAATCCTTTTTTATTAATATTGCAAGCAAATTAAAACATCATGACAACAGAAGAAAAATTTACAAGAGATATTTAGAAATTCACCATTCAAAAAGCACTTATTTGAAAAAGTCTACTACGTTTCATTAATAAAACCACAGAAAAAGCATATTTTTTATTTATCTAAAATAAATCAGGCAACTTCCTGTAAGGAAGATGGAAGCTGCCATATTATTCACTAGATATAGCAATTTTACATTTAAGAATGACAATATAATCTTTGTGAAGTCTGCAACTGTCATATTTTGCATGATTAGTTATAGCCCAAGTATGCATGAGCGCTTAGTTATAAACTTCTGTAGCAGTTAGATCTTATCAGCTTGATGTTTTCTACTAACTGAGCTAAGGATCAAATAATAGAGCATCTGTTTAAGCAAACAGTTAACACTCTTGAAATTAATGCTAACCTACAAGAAATTCTTGCAGTGAATTTCAAAAAAGGGAGAGTACTATGTAAGACTGAAATCTCCTGGAGAACCACATAAATTTCTTTTCTTCCACCCTGCTCAGACTTGCTGGTCATTTATTACTTTAATTGAGAAAAATGTGGTTAGAAAAGGAATGGACATTTGTGTCAACATTAAAATACAAAATGTAAATATGCTACAATTTCTGAATTACTATACTTGTATTATTTCGTTATTTGTAATGTTGAGAAAAATACCTATGTATTGCTCATTATGCTCATTAATAAAATTTGAGATTGAAGAAAATGTGTGAAGTACTTTTAGTCCCAGAAAGATCCAAATCACTTCTAGCCTTAAGCACTTAATTTTTATTTTATTTTCAAATGTTTACTAATAAAGTGATACCTGTAGAGGTCTGCTTCTGGCTGCTGGCATTCTATAACAGCGACAAGTTTGTCCAGGTTGGCAACTGACTGTAACACTGCTGTTTCTGGAACCGCAACATGTGTCTGTAAAACAGTGTCCATTAACTTAATGATTCAGGAATACAGGGAGTGGGAGTAATGGGAGGAAAAGGGAGCTCCAACAGGCTGAAATAAACATGAGATCATAATTGAACTAAGTTTTATTTCACAGCAGTAATCCAGACCTTAAGATTGGTTTCTCCATCCAGACTTGCAGTAGTAACGTGACATGAACCGTCCGCTCTATCGGATGACAGAAGCACCAGATCAACAGGGAAAGTCTCATCTTTGGCTACTCTGACAATGTCGCCAACCTAAAGAAGTAAACACAAATGAAAAGATTTATATAAAGCTTTCAAAATGAAAAACTCATTTCAGCATTGTTACTGAATCGTTACATCCACCCCCCTCCTTTAGCTACACAGTAGTTTGTCTTTAAGCACATACCCGAATGTTTTTAGATCTAGTTTTCACAAGACCACCACTTCTAACAACATAAACTGGAGCACCGTTTACTTCATTGTCTGCTTTGTGTCGTAGCCAGTCTTCGTAACCCTGCAGAAAACAAAAATTCACGTTTCAAGCAAGTAACATGTAAAACATAAAACCTTCTTGAGCAAATATGCTTCAAGCTGCTTGCCTTATGCTTCTAATCCTGTAAATAACTTTGGATTCTACTACAGTAGAAGTAGAATCCAAAGTTATTCATGTAGTTGTAGTTATTCATCAATTTAGGAAATCTCTTAGTTTTTACTGATTCTATATAAGCAAGTAAGGGGAAGGTAAGTAGCATAAGTAGTGAAAGAATTTACAATCCCATAATCTGTTAAAGCAAAAATGTATTGCAATTTTCTGGAAACAAGATGAACAAGCACTCATACAAGTCGAGATCTACACAGATTAATATACCCTGAAACAGGGAAAAACTATTCCCAGTCTTTCGGGAACGGGTAGAAGGCAAATGCTAAAAAATAAATAATGCAAGATGTGTAGCAAATAGCAGCCACACAGAAAGACACTTGGAAACTGAAATCCTAAACTCCCTAAGTAAGAGCTGATAAGAGCATTATCTGATCGGTACAAGAAAGCATCAAGAATCTGTGCCTACAGCTCCTGTTAAAGGTGACTAATAGAAGAAAAAAAAAATATTTGGCTAAATCCAATAACCTTGGGGTATTTGTCTCATAAATCCGAACAGCTGAGTAATATGGGTACTTGGCAAAGATCTGAAGTTTACCTTCTTCAGAAAGTACAGATTTCAGCGCTTTCTCCATCTGATGACTACTCCCTACAACATAAGGGTGACACCTCACAAGCCAAGTTCTTCTGATCTATTTAAAACCAAAAAAAAAGGGACCAACTGCAGCATTTTAAGAAAGTTCTTTAACTCTCTAAAATCTCTCTCAAATATTGCAAGGAAGCTCTCATGAAAAAGATGCGACAGGAACACAGATAGTGCTGCTTAATCTCATGAACAGAAAACACAGATAAACATTCCCTAATTAAAAGACATTCTCAATTCCTGCTAAAATAACAGCATCAATATACACAAGAACAAAATCAAAACACCTATTAGCGGGCTTTGCATACCCAGTTTATTTCTATATTTAATAAAAACCTACAAAGTAGTTGCTTCTAATTTATTCAACCACCATATAAACATTTGTGTGTTCAACCAACCTACTTGCTAAACACCTACTGAAAAACAGGACTAAATTCCCTTGGTTTAAAAGAAAACAAAACAGAACTTTTTTTTTTTGCTTAAAGCAACAAGAAAATCTGGGATTTCTCTAAAGACTGTGTACGCATCTTCAGAGGGATGATATGGAAGGTCTGCGACAAAATGACATAGCACGAGTTGCATCACGTTGCAGTCTTGAATGTCCTCCTCCTGACCTTCGCACCACTGTGCTTCAGATAAGAAAAAGTTCTTTTCCCTGCCCAAGGCTGAAGTAAGCCTGACTTGGGGGGGTTTCTAGACACACCTTGCTAACTAGCCTTCTGGAAATTGGAAAGCTTTTCCACACCCTGCCAAGCTTCTCAAATTTGGATACTGTTAATGCTTTTATTTTTCTCTTCTAAACTTTTAAGTGTCTGTTAAATGACAGCTCAGCATTATCCTCGTGCAACTTTGCACAAAGCTAGTGCCTTGATGCTTTCAGACAATGCTTCTTCCCCCGAAAACATCTTCCTATTCCACTTGTACTTTGAGAGAATATGGGAAAAAGTTTTCAGATCAAACTTGGTATTTTCCTTCTGTGTGATAAATCAGCAGATTTATCTTTCTTCTCTACCATTTAAAGGTCTGCCCAAGTACAGTATGTTGGAAATAGCATCCTGAATTATCTTTCTAAGATAGAAGCTTATAATCACTGTTGCAGTGGGTCAGGATCAAAACAAGAATCCATTATATCAGCTTAAGTGGTTTCCAATAGGCACTAGCAGACAGAGGCAGACAGTCAGAAGAAATTCTTAATGCTCTACAAGCCAAGTATGACTTGAATCTTCTGGAAAGACAGCCAGAATCTCTATTCTTCATATCTGATGGTAAAATATTAAAATTTGCCAAGATGAGCCTGGACATCAGGAAACAATGTGACAGATGGTTTTGGACTATTTTTAGTTTTACACAAATTCAACTTCTTTTTGGAAAAAAAAGAAAGTCTAATGTTTGTAATAACTTGCATGCTCTCTTTCAGTTCACAGTGCTTTAAGGGATAATTTCCACCGCCAACTTATGACTATAGCTCTTAAAAGATGCCTTTTTTGGGGTGATGATAGACTGTGCATATACAAATAGCACAGTGAGAAGGTGAAACTGTAACTCAAAGACTCCTACAGCATTAAGATCCCCTTTGCCCCAAACTATCTGTTTGAAAGCTAAGGCTTTTTTTTTACTTTTGGCCTAATTCAGAGTGGGTTTTGGTCCTACTGGCAAAGGACACAACTTGAAATTGCAGCATCATAACTACTTCCCACTTACTTTTCAGTTGCTTCAAATGCATCCCCTCCCCAGGCAGAACTGTCAAACCCTTTGAAAGAACTAATTCATGAACACTACCTTACTGCAGAAATTATAGTTTCTGTTCATACCTCCTTATTTACCTGGTTGTTTCTTTTCCCTATTGCTCTAAGGATTTAAGGAAAACAGTAGGGGATGCTTTCACACTAGCCTTCACATTGCCTCGACATCTCAGCAGGGTCTAGTACAGTCCTTAAATAAGATTCCTGTTAAACTAACACTCAAAAGACTTTTTTCTCCTTACAAATGCTAAAAAAAGCCCTCAAAGTACTTTCATACAATACGCCAAACCTCCCAAAGCTTTCTGAATGGTAACTTTCACCTGATATAGCATTAATGTATATTTTACACCATGAAACACACTCAAGGCAAATTTTGCCTTTTAACCACTAACATACAGGGCACCACGCTACCCTAAGTTCCTTTCCCAGTGTATTATGTAGGAGGATTGCTTTTAATAGGCAGTGAGCTATGCCAAAAGAATAAGCAAGGCGCTTTCAGAAAAGGTCTTATAAAAAGTGACGTGTAAAGTTTAGACAAAAATGCTGTCTGACAGTCACTCACTGTCCATTTAAGGATGCTGCAGCGAGTCCCTGGGTACTCGACACCAAAGCAAAATGCTCAAGTACAAGTGTCTAACAAGCAACAGCAAATACACAAATTCTTTCTGAAAAAGACACTTTTTTTCCTTTCGTTGTATAAATATTATCTTGTTTAGATTTTTTTTTTTGAATTACCTTAACTCGGAAAGACTTCAGACAATACAATTTCCCCCCTTTACCTGTTTTATGGCTGTTACAGTTATGACAAAAAACAATGGCAATCCACTGGTAATGGGACTGGTAGGGGTATCTATCATGAGCTAGAAGAGAAGAAAACATGGAAATTAGTTCCTGATGTGATTTTATGATTGTATTTTTGAAAATAAATATGCAGGTAAATTCTTTGGTACTTCCAGGGCAATGCTCAGTTACTGACACCTGCATAATAGATGTCAATAACAGTGTAAACAAAGGTTCTATAATGTGGAAAAGACTCAACTGCATGTTTGTAATGCTGTGCCAGTTTTAAGACTTCTCACTAAAACGAAGATTTGCTTTCATCCCACAAAAATGAATTTGAAAGCACACTGCAAAAGAAGGAAAGCTATATTTTATGAAGCTATTTTAATACTCCATATAATATACTGCTTAACAGCAATATAGAGTATAACAACCACCACTCTAGAAATGAAAATGAAGTTAAAAAGCAGTAATTTCACACAGTTCGGATATTGAAGAATCTTATTGTTAAGGGTGCTGCTTCTTCCTGCTTCCCGAAAGTTAACATGCAGATTTGATAATTTGTGCTTTCATTGCTGTCATGCCAAAAGTGCAGTGGATACATCAAAAGAAAGTATGTGGGGAGATGTTGGTGTTTCTCTTCTTCTGCGGAAAAAAAAATAATATGCTCAGGTGCTCAAAGAAAATATACACAAGAGTTGTTCAAAACCACAGACATTGGTTTGATTCACTTTACCTGAGACTTATGGCATTGCTTTGGGAATCATTAAAGAAAAAAAAGAACATAAATGAAGTTTACTCTGTTAAAAAACAATAATCTCATGAAGAAAACAGACTGTGTCACATTACAACAAGTGTACGATCTGCTGGTTTCACTGGAACACAAACAGCTCAGAAAACATGACAAAATTGGATCTGGCCTACAATACAATTCTTTAACTGTATCCTTGTGACTTCTGCTTGGAATCACACTGTACAAAATACCCTTTAAAAGAAGTGTCCAACTTCTGGTTTGACAGACTTGACCATGACATTTATGCATCTACTTTCTCTCCTTCCTTCTCAAAGGAGGTTCATATGCAGCAAAAAGGAGGTTCAGGCTGGTGGAACTGTCAGGATAGACTGCTTCCTTTTCTCTCTTTCACCAGAACACCATGGTCCATCTCCTACTACACAGGTGGACATTTATCCATCTCATAGCTGTTATGAAGCTTCAGGTGACCAAAATGCAGTCAGTCACCATGTTCCTGGCATGCACGTGCAAAGCGGACAACGTGATCAGATTGTGCAGCACATTTAGTCACACAAGGAGAACTTGCCCCAGCCCTGTCATCACCAATGGAACAAGGTGGTTGTGATAGACTCTGCATCTTGGTCACATGAGATTAATATCATAAAAGATATCAGGGTGATAAGCATTTAAAGGCAATTTTGTCTTATAAAAAATTTTATATAAAATTCAGGCATGAATAGAATTTCCACTAGTATTTAAAGAAAAATCTGTTCTGATGATGAAGACCAAAACTGATTGCAACTTTTCTCCTGTTTCTGAGAAAAGTATCATACAAGACAGCCCATGTAAAGTGATACCAAAGGAGTTTCGGAGATTTGTCATGTTGCTTCTTGTTTTGGTTTTCACTTTGATTAAAAAAAAAAAAAAAAAAAAAAAAAAAAAAAAAAAAAAAAAAAAAAGGCATCCACTTGACTCATGAACGAGAGAAGACCAAGATTACATGCTGAATAAAAGCCTTTACTTTGGGTATGTATTTGTTCTTTGATGATATATTTAGATGTTACTACAGTCAAAATTAACAAAAAAGAAAGTGACTCAAAACTATGTTGGTAAATTTGCGCTAAGAACAAATAAAAGCTTTAAAAATGCAACACTGTTTATCGTAATAGTAAGCAGGGCTTATGCTCCATAAAAATTTACAGTATAAATCCTCATTTCCATCTTAGCTTCCAAAACTATGTTAAGTATGAATATTTCCAACTTACCTGAACCAAAAATATTATCAAAAAATAAAAGTTGGCTACTCTTCTGAATTGTTCAAATAAGTTTTTTGGAACAAAATTCCACACTGTATACTGAAGGAAAAAAAAAAGGGGAGGGGGAAGGGAGAAGAAAAGACCAGTTATTACATATGGAATAACTTTTCAGTGAAATTCAGTTTTCTTCCAAACTCTCTCAACTCAAACCTTTTTATTTAAAGCTCTTTTTCCTCTCCCCCTCAACTCTTTCTCTCTTGCCCCACTCTCACACAGAACTGCTGCATCCAAACTTTTTCTCCCTTCTGTGAAGTGCACCTAGAAGGGAAGCAGGAGCAGCAACTGCACTGACTTCATGGTCGAAGTCTGAAGTACCAGTTGAGATAGGAGCAGCTGGAGACATTTGGCTGCCTGCAGCCAGGGAAATGCAGAAGAAATTAATTCCTTCAGCTGCAAATTCCTCTCCTACGGTCCAGGGACTAGATACAGCCCCAGCACCAGTGTTATTGATTCTAGTCCAAGGCCACACAAGGGAGGGCATCTGCAATTGCAGTTCACTGCTGCGATTTATTTTATGCAGAATACGGACTTAGAATTTGGCAGTTTTATAAATCCTCAGAAACCTCAATCTTTCCTTTAAATGGTGCACATCTGGACATGGACAAATACATTGTTTTAAATATATATTTTTATTTAGAAATTATGACTCTGTAATTAGCCAGCCTCTCAGGAAGGAGTGGTCGTAAGAGAGCAGGAGACAAACAACAGAGAAAGGAGGAGATACCTTAGCTTTTTTCTTGGAAAAATATCAGAAGCTGCCTGACATTAAGTATAACACATATGCCATTGGGCATTATATTGCACGTTCTCACTGTGCTACTTCTTTAGCAACGTATTCATTAATTCCCACATGTTGAATGACTTTCTTACCTTGGATGATATGATTCTGTTGTCTGCAAATTTCTGAGGAACATAATGGCCATGCTGGGGAAAACGATTTGCTATATAAATAGTTCGCGTATCACTTTGATGTGGTGGGTCAAAACCCTGAAAACACACAAAAAAAACAGACGATGAAGAAAAAAAAAATACTTTATTAATGCCAGTTTTGTTAAATTCCTCTTTGTTCTGAAGATGCCCAGATACACAGAAGCTTTGGACTAGTGAACTAATGTTGAGCATTTTTATTAACCACCTCAATGAGGAAAATGGGAATACGCTGACTGAAGTTGCAGATAACTCCACACTGGGGCTTCAAGAATATCAATTGACAAGGACAGAATTCAAAAAGATCTTGATCAACCAAACATATGAAAGACTGAAATACATTATGGTTAGACAGGATTAGCTACATATACAAAACTATAACAAAAGGTGCATGCAGGAATTAGGTTGAGTGAGATGACAGGGCTACAGAGAACCACAAGTTGAACTTGAGTCAGCAATGTCACATCACCGAGGAGAAGGCCTCCCACCTCAGGAAGCCGGAGGTGCAGTGGGAACCACCATGTGAGTGCTGGGAACCAACTGGAGAGCATCCAGAGGAGCTGAACGTGAGTGACAAGAGATCCTGAAAACATGACACACAGCACAAGGCTGACCAGTTCAAAAAGGAAAGAGCAAACAGATTAGGGTCATTTAGCTTAAAGGAGAGGAAGCTATGGATATGTGAACAATATACAAGAACTGCTCCACTGGGAAACGATGCTATGTGAAAGGCAGGGAAGACGAGAAATAGGCTTCTGCTGCCACTAGGGAGTCTCAGCTTCTCTCTTGGAGAAACAAACAAAACTCCCTTCTGATGGAAAGGAATAATTAAAAAACAAATTAAGCCACATGGAGGTTGCGATGTCTCTGTAACAGAAGGGCTTATATCTAGGTCATTCTAGTCTATCTTTATTTGGGCCTTTCCTGGGGCTATATGACTCACTGACAGCCCTTTCCAACTCTACCGTTCTGGCCTGGAGATGCAGGTGATAACAAAAGACAAGCAAACAAGCCCGTAAAATAAAACTAATTCAGATAATAAGCTGAGACAAAGACAGAAAACAGCAAGGTTTAAGATGTGGAACAAAATGATCAATTTCAGCAAGAAAATCACAAAAATTACTCATCTTAAAATTGGATAAATATGATTAACGCTGGGAATACAAAGTCTCCTTTCTGCTGGATGCCAAGTGAAAGTGCAGCTATTGAAACAGTTAGAAAGGACATTAATGTATCCCCTTAGAAAGGACATTAATGTATCCACTTCTGGGAGGGGAGGAAGGGAACCAACCGCTTCGCAAAGCTCTGCTCGGGCTCAAACTCGGGCTCAAACTCGGGCTCAAACCCAAACCAGCAGCAGCACTGCACAAAACTGCGACAGACACCTCCGTATCGGTTAACTCAGCAGGGTGATGGACAGCCAGCACACACAGACAGAAAAGGGGTTGGAGTAACAGCTAAGACTTGCTTCTTTATATACAAAGTTGTCTAATGTAGGGCCTTACGTGTGTTTGTATTTAGGATGGTGTCATTTTCATGGAAAGGAATAATAAAAATACCCCCTCAAACACACATAACCCTGTATTTGGCACCATCGATGCAGAAACATTCTGCTTCAGAAAGAACAAAGGTCCAGAAGAAGGAACGGAGGAAAGCGAGGAATGGGGATATTCCAAAGAGATTTGAAGGAGAACAAACTCTGGATGACAAACAGTGGGAGGCTGCTCCAATCACATGCTCCAGTACAAAAGCCTGCTTGAAGATAAGAGTAGAACAAGGAGATAGAGGGGTAGATAGGAGAAACGACTGGAAAAATATACAGGAAGTCAAGAATAAAAGGAGCGAGTGGTTCACAACTTACACAGACACGAAGTTAAGGTGAAAAAAGATATACCTGTGGAATACTAACTCTATATTTAAGAGAACATCATTTCTAGGAGAAGTACTGTTGATATCTTGCAGGTAAGAAACAAAGTTATCAACAAGATGAAGTAAACAGCTCTTTCCTATCTCAGAAAAAAAAATATGTGGCCCTCGCAAATGCCTGGCCCCAGACAGCTTCAATTCAGAAAGTCACATTCTCCAGTCTGGAAAAGCAAAACAAAATAAACTATTCTAAAACAGACAAAAGCAGGGGTAAAAAAGGTTGGAGGAAGGAAAAGCAGCAGGCAGTATTCTGATTTTTTATGACATGTTTATGACAAAGGGCTATAACCACAATATAACCACCAAGCCTACCTACATGAGCATCTCTAGCAGAGAATGCTTCTGGCAGAGTAGACTGAACTGACTGAAAGGGAGGAATGCATTTGCTGAATCAGGATCTCGGGCCATAGGATTTATAGCCTCAGTTGGGTGGCTAAGCAAGCTTAAAACAACAGCCTACGCATGTTTAAAAAGGTTTCGCTGCAATGGTTGGGGCAGAGTGTGCAAAAAATACTCAACCGATAGACCTATGGAGATGGTGATACACAAACAAGGTAGGCCGGGGACAAGAACCTCTGAAGGCATCACAGGAACGGCTGGAAAAGGACACATCCTTGACAAACTCAACCACCCAACTCAACTGGCAGAGCTGAGAGCAAAACCCAGATCCCACAAGTCCTATTTCTGTGACTAAGACAGATCATTCCGAATTATCCAACAACGCTGTCATTATGTAATTATCTGGTGGGACTGCCATCGAGCAGATCTTCCACAGAAGTATTAATTATGTATCTCTTCAAGAAGAATTCTACGCAGAAGTGGAATTTAAAGGAATTTCACTTCTCCTTGAACAATTAACATACTTTACCTTTTCTACTTAACTACGTCACAAACTAGTCACAAACCCTGCTCCTGTCACAGGACCAAGCTGTAGCCCAAATTCCTGTCCAGCAAAAGCATTCTGCATCATACCTACATGCAAGTAACTAAAGAGATGCAGGAAACAACTATTTCCTACTTGCACGTTTAAGAAGCTTCTTTCTTTGTTTCTGATGTCATTACCAAACTCAATTGCAAACCCAGGATAACTTGCCCTTGTGAGAGGGCTTGTGCAGCTCCATAGCCTGAGAAGAGTACTCCGAAGCTACAGTTTTCAGTCTTACAGACAGATTCACAGCTCACTGGTATCTTTTATTGAAAGGGATTTATTCTAGTAAACTGTTATCTACCTATGTGAACAGATCATCAACTTCATAACAAAACTACCGTTTTGTCAGGTTACTTTTTTTAAAGGAATTGGTTCCTCAAACCAACTAATTGCATGGTCAGAGCAGCAGCTTGGTGCTATAATGCAAGGGTGTAGTACTGAAGTCCTGTTGCATACAACTACTTACTCCTTACTGTGACTACTTCATCAAAACTTCATGATGTTTCTTGCTCATCACTGACACATATTCCAGGGAGAAAGGAAAAATTATTATTTGCTGGAAGAGCTTCTTCTGGATAACCAGTTTTTAGTGAAAGGGGTCTGAAAGAAGGAAGTCTTGACAAGAACTTCCTCCTCTTTTCAAAAGCCACACTAAACACTACGATGGAAACTAACTGTTCCTCAGAAAGCCCTTTGGATACCACATACTAGGCAACAATATTAATAAAAAAAGAAGAAAAGACAATGACAGGAAGCCTTATTCCTACGGGAGGTGACCGACTTCAACCCTGGCTGCAGAAACAGAACAACATATTTCATGGCAGATAGCCCAAAAAACTGCTATTACACAGCTTCAAAATCACATTTTGATGATAGATTTTTTTGGAAATGTAGTTAGGTCTTGGGCTTTAAAAAAATAAAATACATACACACACACACACACACACACGGAATCATTTCCCTTTTGTCAGACATGATTTACAAACAATGCACATTTTCAGCAGTCCGTAAATTTATACTCAAAAATTCTTTCAGTCATATAACTGGGTAGTAGTCAAACAACATTTGTGTTACCAAAAGTTAGCATGAAGAAAGAAAGAGCCTTTCTTGCAGCAATTTTCAACACTGCATTAGCTGCAGAGGAAGTAAAGCACCTTAGGTACCCTGCGATTTACAGAGTGCCACGCAAATTGTCCTTCCTCTTTTAAAGAACACTTTTATTTCCTTATGGCAATACTAAAAGTCTTGCATCTGCAACTTCCTTTTTCAGCTTAGTGCATCTAGAGTTGTTTAGCGTACCTGATAACAAATCACGTTGTAACCTCCTCATATAACTATAGGCAAACTATATTATTTTGATTGATACAAAAACATTGTAGGAAACAAGGCCCAAGAAATCACAATGTGAGATTATTTCACAGAGTTAAAAAAAAATTATACATATTACTGCATTTGGAAAAGTAGGGCTGATGCCAGGAACAAAATTCTGGTAATAGTCAGCTCAGGTTCACCTATATTACCTTACGTTGTCAAACAGTCAATCAGCTGTTCACAAAAATAATTTGGGGAAATATCTACTCCTTAATTATCTACAAAAGGAACAAACACACACACACACCAAGTTAAACTGGCCTAATTCAGTGGTAATAGACTTCCCAGTTTCTCTGTGGAAGTCACTGATGTCAAACCTACTGGCCTTATAATAGAAATAAATACAGCCAGGAAAAGCAAGCTGAGAAGGCAAACCTGTATTTTGAACCCCAGGCCTCTCAAGGACTGATATGACACAACCAAATTCCAGTATGAGCAAAGAGTTTTAACCACATATTCTGTGCTACTTGGATATAATAGCAAGCTGAAAAAGTAGCTGTCCATTCCGTGGCAGGGGGAAAAATGTGCTAGTAACAAGGAATGAATTAGGAAATCACTAAAGAAGAGAAAAACGAGCGCAGAGACATCTATCAAGAATCAAATATACACTCCATAAGGCAATCAGCACCAGATAGGTCAGAAAAACTTTACAATAGATGTGTCTTCAGCTGTAATACAGAGAGCATTTAATGAACTTTCAGATTCTAAAAAACAATTCCTAATGTCAACAGCACAGTGAGTGGGTCCCAAATTACACTCAAGGCTAAGCACAAAAAGGTACACAGGAGACAATAAAAGACTAACAAAATGTAACAGAATATATCCAAACATACCT